TTTTTTTTTTTTTTTTTTTTTTTGAGGTGGAGAAGCAAAATTGCAAAAAAAGTTTTCTTCTTCTAGTTATTATGAACACCCGATTAGCTAGATGTGACCCTAGATTATTGGATTTTGTTACATGGGCCGTTCTTAGGGGATGTCGCTTATTTCAACGTGTTCACATAACACCTTTGGGTCTTGTTGCTACCAAAACAATACCTGCATTTGATTTTGTTGCTGTTGTACCAACATCTGCTACACTTAGTGTTCTTACAGTAGTTGAAGATCAATCATTTCCACTTAAGGTATCTCCAATGAACCATGGAGAAGAACTTTCTTTTTGGCCTGATCTTACATTAGGTTCCTTTGTTTTTGTCGCTTATCTTGCTAAGGCACTGCGAACCGGTTACCCACGAGGTGTTCGTAGTTATTTGGATGTTTTACCGTTTGACCAAGGCATGCCTATAGGTCGTGTAGCTGATTTAGCACAACAATCAACAGAATATAAGGAATTTGTTGCTCCTCTTAAAGAAGCGTGTAAGGCACAAGATGCCAACTTTGATTTAGCTTTTCGTCATGCATACTGTCTTTTCAGACGTCATGCTGTTCCTTTTTGGAGTCATACAGAAGCGGGAAGTGGTGGTCATCCAGATTTTCAAAATTCTCCGTTTGCTACTGATAGTTTGGGTGATATTATTGGTATGATTCCAGTATTGGATTTGGCATTACATTCCCCGGAGCCTAATGCCTCTATTGGCTATCCAGACGCGGACATGCTGCAGTGGTTGGCTCAGGAAAAGAAGGCGGGTATACGAGTAGAAAAGGGATACTTTGTAATGCAGGCACTACGTGATATTCAGGAGGGTGAGGTGGTTTCAGTCAATAAAAACGCTTACTTTAACTTTGACGATGCAACCTTTAAGGCATGGTTTGGTTTTCCCAATGAGCCACAACTTCAGGAGGGAGTGATAAATGCGAAGGAGAGTGCTGATAGTCGTAATCATCTTGTGGAGCCATAGGTTAGAAGAAGAAGAAGAAGAAGAAGAAAAAAGAGGTATTATTACCATGAAGATCGGCATGTATGCGTAGACATCTACGAAGATGCTTTTTTTTTTTTTTTTTGAATTCTGGTGAAACTGTTATGTATCATTCTTGGTTTTTCTTTTCCTATTCTTGAATTAAATTAAAGAGGTATAAGTATATATATTTATTTTTTAATTCTACTTTATGCCACATCTTTTCTTGTTTCTTTTCTCTTTTTTTTTTCTTTTTTATATTATGTGAATAGTTCAGTATAGTGCAATTGGACTTAATATCTGGGATTTGCAAGTCTGTGTGCATGTACTGCCTTTATGAAGACAGTAGAGTATAAACTTGCACGTCTCGAGGAGCAAAATGCGGCTCTTTTAAGAAAATTGCGTCACCAAGAAAATGAGATTAGTCGTTTGTCAGTACGGGAGTCTCAGTTGAGAGAAGTGAGACGTATTCCTTTACTGCAAAAGCGTCTTGATGCGGCTCTGGGTGAACGCGAGGAACTCGAATGTCAACTCACCGAGACACGTAGGAGGGAGGTAAAGTTATTAGATGAGTTAAACCTTTTAAAGAAGTTTGTGAAGTTAAGCGAAAACCCAGAGCTTGCTGAAGTAGCACGTCAGTGTGCTAATTATGAACGTATACAAGAAGATCTAAAGACTCTTGGTGAACAGTTGCGTATTATATCTGTAGAACGTGATGAATATAAAAAACGAGCACTTCTATCTTGTGAAGAAGCAGAATACTACCGAGATAAATGGAACGCCTCTTTTAATGAGAAGCGTGAGTTAGAAAATTACATACGAAAACAGCTTGCAGAAAAAGAAACTGCAAATATAGAGATTTCAGTGAAATCGCCATCTTGTTATTCAGTTATAGAAAGAAGTTCTTCCTTATCAGTAACCCCCGCTGAAGAATCTCACTCTGTAGAAGATTCACAGCATCTTAGACAATGTCTGGAGGAAGAAAGAGCTCGAAGTGGAGCTCTTCAAGAAACAATAGATGCACTATATGAACAACAAAAAGAACAACGTCGGTCTCGTTCCCATGAACGTCGCCTTAGTAGTCCTCCAGCGCCAACAAAGAATATATACTCTACTTCAGAAGGTGGTGATACTGAACTTTCCATACAAACTTTACGAAAGCAACTTCAACTTTCTGAAGGTGAGTGTAAAATATTAAGAAATAGGTGGCAAACTATAAGAGAAGAAAATGAGTTATTGTTAGCTCGTCTTTCGGAGCAAGAACAAAAGGAAACTTTTTGGCAAAATCAGATTCGCAAACTATCTGGTGAGTGTGATCAATTAAAACGTCAATTAGAGTTTTTTTCACAAGCAAAATCAATGATCTTGTGCCATCACAATGAGTCATCGTGTGGTGAACTACTACAGTGTTAATTATGACAAATAGGATTCTTGAAGACTGTTCGATTACATGTGCGTTTTTCTTTTTTATGTTATTTATTTTTTTTTTTTGTATTTTCTAACGATACTTGTAAAGTTTCTTACTCCATAAAATTCTTGTCTCTATGTTTGTTTCTTCATTATAATTCTGGTTTCTTTTGGAGATTCTTTCTTCTTCTTGCAAATATAAAAAAGAACAAAAGAGTAGCAAATATACCAACGGAGAAAAAAAACATATAGAAGAAGAAAAGAAAAAAAAAAAATGTCACAACTTTGGGTAAAGCGAGCCAAGGCTGAGGTTACTCGCCATTCTCGTCTTCTTGAGACACTTAATCGTGTTTTCCCTATGCCTTTTGAAGAACGTCGTTCACGTGTAGGAATGGTATCATACGGTACATACCGATGGTTTAGATATTTCCCAATAGTACTCGTTCCCGCAGTTCTTATTGGTGTTATTCTTGAAACTCGTGATATACCACAGGAACACGTATTCACCTCTTTGCATTTATGGCTTGCTGATCATGGCATGTTTCGTCATGATACAGTGAAAGCACTTAACCCAGCCTTTGAGGATGAACGCAGAGAAATAGAATGGAAGGCCAATGATCGCAAATGGAGATTTACGGGGATTGACATGCCATCAGAAAAAGAGATGCGTGAATTTACGGCAATAAATATTGAGAGAATACGTTCATCCTCCACGCGGTAATCAGTTTTTGGTCTTATTTTCTTTTTTTTGTTTCTCTCCTTCACACTACCTGTTAACTTGTAGTTCAGTTGTATGGTATCGAAAGTGTTACTACATTATTATTATTTTTTTTTATTATTGGTTAAATTTCTGCCTTTCCTGCTTTTCTTATTGCATTAGTTTTATTTTCCCGAATTATTATTTATTATTTATTTTTTACATTTGATCCAAAATGATATTCTGCAGTCTTTTAAATAATATGTTTTTCTTTTAATAACACCTGTTTTCTTTTTTTTTTTCCTTCTTTTTTTTCTCTATACTTTTTTTTTTTTTCTTATCTCTGGTACGGTGAGGGAGACTCGTACTACCAATGGGAAAGGACCAGGCCAACGTTAAGGGTTGCCGCTTCCGCGTCTCCGTTGCCCTTCCAGTGGGTGCTGTTGTGAACTGCGCTGACAACACCGGTGCAAAGAACTTGTACATCATCTCCGTGAAGGGTTATCATGGTCGTCTGAACCGTCTGCCCGCCGCTGCTCTCGGCGATATGGTGATGGCCTCCGTGAAGAAGGGTAAGCCAGAGCTCCGCCGCAAGGTGTTGAACGCCGTTATCATTCGTCAGCGCAAGAGCTGGCGCCGTAAGGATGGTACCGTGATCTACTTTGAGGACAATGCGGGCGTTATTGTTAACCCCAAGGGTGAAATGAAGGGTTCCGGTATTGCGGGTCCCGTCGCGAAGGAGGCGGCCGATCTCTGGCCAAAGATCTCCACGCACGCCCCCGCTATTGTGTAAGGCAGAAAGGTCGTAGAGTACATCTCTTTTTATTTTTATTTTGCGTTGTCTTTTTCCCCGTATAATATTTTTTTTTTTTTTGGAAGCTAGAGGGTTCTATTGGTTTATACCATGGTAGACTCTGGCTCTTCTTGCATATGGATATTCTTTTTATTTTATTTTTGCATTGGTTTCTTTCTTTCTTTCTTTCAATTCTATTTTGATTGATAAAAAAAAAAAAGGGGTACGTGAACACTACCAATGGGAAAGGACCAGGCCAACGTTAAGGGTTGCCGCTTCCGCGTCTCCGTTGCCCTTCCAGTGGGTGCTGTTGTGAACTGCGCTGACAACACCGGTGCAAAGAACTTGTACATCATCTCCGTGAAGGGTTATCATGGTCGTCTGAACCGTCTGCCCGCC